GTGTGTGTGTGTGTGTGTGTGTGTGTGTGTGTGTGTGTGTGTGTGTGTGTGTGTGCGTGCATATGCGCGAACATCTTGATGATACCGAAGTTTTCGTTTATTTGGCATCGCTCCAGAATTCGTCGCCGCTATGTGTTCGCCGGCCCGTGACGTCATCGAGGAGGAAGACGAGGACGAGCTGGACGAAGAAGAGGACGAGGCGACGACGACGACACCTGGCGGACTAACGGCGCAGTACGGAAGCACGCAAAACACGGCGACGAAGGCGACAGCGACGGGAAACTCTAGCAAGGGCTGCGGCAATGTCGGTAGCCATGTTACCGTGACGTCATCGACGCGGACGAACAAGAAATGCATGAAGTCTGCCGAGTGACGGAAGCAGACGACTATTGGGCGCTAACCATTCCTAACAGATACAAGGGGAGGGGGAAATGTGATGTAATGTTGTAGAAATCGCATGGCGAAAAAAAGAGATTTCCTTTCAATGTATATATATATATGTGTGTGTGTGTATATATATATATATATATATATATATATATATATATATATATAGCCACCTAAGAAAGAGAGCGTTTCGGTTCGTATAGACAACTATGAGACGCGCAGCCCCTCTCCGACAGATGGCAGCTCTATCGCTATTACGTGTTGTAGCGCATTATTACTGCTGCAAACTCTGCAGACAAACTTTATCGTCAAACTGTTTTCGGATCTAAGGCGGCACCATTCGAGGAATATTGAATCACAGCTATTAAATCTTACGAACTGGAAATATTACGTTATTTTTTTTTATATGAATTTGAAAATATATTTTCTTTGATTTTTACAAAATTTAATATAAAAAGGAATACAGTATAAATAATAACAGCTATATATGTAAGTATGATTTTACGCGTCTAGGAAATTCTAAGAGTTGCCAAGGGTTACATCAACTTCATGCGCTGCCAGATATGCGCGCATGATTGCATCACGTTATTCAAATTTTCAAACGGGTTTCATCACTATCGCGCTATCGTCAGTTTTTCCATTCTCAAAATTATTAATGAAGTGAAATACTGAATTTCGCCGCACAGCTGTGAAAGAGCGTGAGATCACGAAGAGAAGGCCTATAGTAAGAATAACTATATTTTATTATCAAAATGTTCTTCGGCAATCAAGTCTGCTGCTGCTGCTACGCTGATGTATAGTCCGACAATTGAGAAATAGACCGCAAGACAATCACGTGAAAAAGTTATATCTACAGACACACAAACACACACACACACGCTCGCGCACGAACGCACGCACGCACGCACGCACGCACGCACATGCACACATATACGTCAACACATACGCACACGCATACACGCACGCGTATGCACACACACGCAAACACGTACTCGCACGCACGCATGCAAGAGCTCACGCACGCACACACATACAATAGTAACATACACGTACGCAAGCACGCACGCACTTATAATTATATATATATATATATATATATATTATACAGATATTCCACAATAGCTTCTGCCTTGTCCACAAGATGTGATATGATATATTTGTTTGGTGAATTCGTTGATGATGTCATTAGTACATGCAGAGCGGCATATCGATTGTATAGGAGTTGGCAAATGTTACTGTTGATTGATTTTCTGTCTGCTATTTTAATCACGAATAAAACGTTATGATGATGTGAGGTACTGAAACTAATAATTGATTGCTGCGAACAC